CAGTAGGTTGAATTTCAGGACTGATGAAATCTCTACAGAAGGTTTCTGAAATTTTGAATTAAAAGTTTCCTGGGAATTGAACCAGTCATGACCTCTCAATGCAAGTACCTACTGAATGACATATATCTCAAGTCTCTTTTTTATTAACGTGTGAGGGAAGTGACAAAAAATAAGAAAAAATCAGAAGGAGGAGTGCCTTTCATTTAAGCTGTCTCCAAGAAACTCTTAAACCCTGTACAGAACAGTGTCCAAAGGCAAAAGACGCCCCCGGACAAAACAGGCGTGTCTATGTACCCGGAGCAGAAATGCCAGAAGAATCACATAGGAATGTGAAACTGAGTGGAGTTGGTGTTGAAATAAAGAAGCGTGTGTATGTTAAGAGAAGCTGATTTACATTGAAGTTGTGGTAAAAGTCGCCAAATAACACCTGCACAGGCATAACTGTCCAGTAAGGTCTCATTGGGAGGTACAGGTGTTTCTCAGGTTTTTGAAGCAGTACTGCACTGTTTAGTGTTCTGTTGCTGCTTTTTTCCCTGAGAACAGTTGCAAGCAAGAGCTAAGCTAATACTCTGACATACCTCTGTAGCAAGCGATGATTTGGGATGCACAATTGTTTTTCAAGAAGAGGCTATTGCAAGGAGAGTGTTTCTGTATTCGCACTGATTCTTTGATTGCCTGGTGGGAGAGAGTGTTGTTCGTGCATCAATTAAGATAAAATAAAACAAAACCTAGATTCTGTCTGAGACTGGCCCTCAAATGAGGAATTCATATCTTTGGTCTTACTTTCACTCCTCAATCACATAGATGTTAATTTGAAAAGCTTTTTTTCATTTGTATAGGTAGCCAATAAATGCAAAATGCATGGAGTAACATTTGAAACTGATGGTTCTTGATTTTTTTAAACATTGTTCAGTGTGGACTTGGACTCCTTTTCAGCTGATACAGTATTATTTAACTAGATTTCATTGATGCAGAACAGCAATGACAGCAATGTACTGCTGATGACTCTTCCTCAGAGTCTAAAAAGACTGACTAAAAAGTTTGATGATGCTCATGGGAATTGTTTAACTTCTTGGACATATGTTACATAATGTTCAGCTTAATTTCCTTCACTTAAGATATGTTTGTGAATAAGGTACAGTCAATTTAAAAAAATGCTCTCTGTACTGCTGCAGAAACAAAACAGAGTGCCCTCGACTCTTACTGAAGAGAGATGCTGAGAACATGCTGCACCATAATAGGTGCTCAGCTGTTCATTGGATCAAGACCTGCTGCATGAAGAGGCATGAGGAAGCATAAAACCAAAAGTAATATAGCCTAAAGTAAGGCAGAATCAGAGAAGCAGTAACTGGTATGACTAGAATGATAATTAAGAGCTGGGTTCCCAGTTGTCAGTAGAACAGTGTATGCTTGTACCAGAAGTGCAAGAAGAATTGAACCGAAGAATTTACCGCAGACATCTTGGATTAGATGGATAAGATCAGACCATTTTCATATTGGCTGGCAAGGATTAATCAGATGTGTGTTCTGTTTTACAGCCTTCTCCCTGCTGACCATTACCTACCATCTGACCATCTTCAGTTTGCTTTAAAACATCTTCCCTTGCATTGTACTCTTATTCATACATTGTGAGAAAGCCGTATTTTCACAAGTATCTTAGGAGAACGCTGCCAGCAAAAGAGCTGGTCACATCCTCTGCCTACACCTGGGTGCTCATTCCCGCCTCCCTGACTCTCTTCCTTTTCCCTGGATGTGTGTATGGGGAACTTCACTGTGAGCTCTGCTGGAAAACCTCTCAAGACTAAAAGTGATGTGGAAGGGGCACGAGGCAAATCCAAATTGTTTGGCTTTAATTCATTCTGACTGGGAACTTTAATTCTGCACAGCTTAACCTCTTGCATTGCCATCAATAGGATTTAAGCATGTATTTAAAAACTAAGTTTAAGTTTGGTACTTTCTCTTGTAAGAGCATTTCAGTATAAATTTTATTTGTCCCCATCTATGTACTTACTGTATGTTCTGTCCAACTAAATAATTAAAAACATTTTAACTTTATTATTTCACATGAGGAGCTTTTCTAGAGTGGTCAGGAAGAAAGATTACTTTGATTTGTATATAATTTGGGGGGGGGGGATTTTAGCATTGTCTGATACCAAATATTTTATTAGCATTCAGTAGTCTAACCTACATGTCAAGCACTTCATTAAGATGTAAAAACTTCCTCCCTCCTTCCCCCCTGCGATTATTTAAGCCTGTCTGGCAACAGCATATATGACAAATATCTGTGGTGGAGTGCTGAATAGCTGCCTCTGCAAATAAAAGACTGGGGAAATTCTCTTTTTTTAAAATTGAAGATTATCTCACATCCGTTGTAACCTTGTCAGGTCTCAAAGTGAGCTTAAACAATTCTTGATACGGAGGGGGAAAGCTTAGCTATCTGTATAATTGCATCCATGTTGAGCAACACAACTTGTTTGCTTAGATTAGGATGTGAGATTCCCCAAATTTGCAGGCCAGTTTAAAAGCCATGATGATGCTTTGGGTTCGTCCTCAACAAAACAAAGGTGAGCTTCTGCTTATCTAATTTTTTAAGTACCTTTTTTGACACCGCTATAGACCACCTGCGTGATGTAAGTTTATAAGCCTTTCTTGCCTTTTACAGCTTTTAGGATGAGAGAGTAATACCTGGGCTCAGTCTATCACAGTGATGTGCTGAATGAAGTCTTACGTTATGTAACACTGGGAGAGAGGCGTGCTCTGGTTTTTTTTTCTAAAGAAATCTAGAATGCCCATGATCCCAAAGAAAACAGAGAAATCCAGTTATTTCCTATAACAGAAACTTTAAGATCCTGAAGTCAATAATTAATAAATGGACAGGTTAAAAAAAAAAAATTAACTGCTATTAAGAAAAGCAATTATTGGGGATGTTCAGGGTATGTTGATAATGTTTTGGACAATAAAAAGACTGTCTCAGTGTTTATGAAATAAATAGTGATGGTCATGGCTCAGACTGAAGTGTTCTCCGTTGGGCAGCAGTGAAGTGCTGCATAGTTTTATAAGTGTACTGAAATATGTAGTCATCAAGTAATAAGCACAATATGAAGCTGGTGCTTTAGGCTTATATGACTTATTCTGTGCCATTCTTAAATAGAATAAGAGTCTTTGGTGGAGATTTTGATATCTTGCTAAGAATCGGAGAAAGATTGATCAGGTAGTCCAGAGAGATGAAGTGATGCCAGCATAGAGGAGGACTTTTTAGAAACTGAGAAGAGGGGCATATTTCTTACATATATGGAAGCAATCATCAGAAAGGAGATGTGGGGCAGGGGAGAAGCAAGGCTCTAGCTACTGTGTCTCACTAAGAGTCTGTCCTTTTCCCCTGAAGCATGTGTGATTGCTGCACTGGTTCATCTATTTAAATTTCTCAGTGAAAAAAAAAACAAAAGGCTGATCCATGGCTAGGGGACAGGAAGAATCTTAACTAGTGACTGCATTAGTTGCTGCCAACGCACGTATGTGCACCCTGTTGCTTTTTATATTTTCTCAGCTATAAAATGTGAGTAATAATGCTTAAATTATGTATCGTTCAGTGTTCTGCGAGTTAATTAGATAATGCTACATAGTCCTTTGAAGATGAAATGCATAATATAAATGTTGTATAAAGCTTACTGAGGGTCTCTGTGTCAGGTAGGTAGAAACCCATGGTAACTGCAGACACAGGAGAACTGAGAAGCATAAGGCAGAGGCACTTGGGCTGGCTGCATGCAAATTGACTTCAGTCGAGCAACAGAATAGCACATTCACACAAATTTGTCCCATGCTGGCAAGGCCTGCAGACTGGCACAACAACATGTAAACACTTCTGGACTAAAGCTTTTAGTCTTGTACTGTCTAACCTACTGCTTCAGTAATCTTTGCTTTGTTATGTGCTAGAAATACCATAAGTGGCAAAGAGAAGGAATTGAAATGCAAGCTCTGTTGTCTTGATATTTCTGACTTGAGACATTTGGCAGTAGCAGGTCAGATGCTAAGGTAGCATGAAGTTTAAAGGGAAAAACGGAAGGATGGAGACATATGTACACAGCTTCAGGAGCTGGAATTTTAATACCAATAGTTGTGCGATGAACTAAACTGGGATAGAGTGAGAACTGCTGCTTACTGAAGCGTTTTAGCAAAGCTTGGAGGATGGATTAGTCAAAAGCATTAGTGCTAACCTTTTTTCTGTTTAGTTTACTTTCTTGTTTCCCCTGTTGGATCTTTCTCACTGGTGTGTACAGGAACTTTATCCCCTAAAGATCTCTGAGCAGGTGTTGTCTCTTAGCTAGCATAACTACCCAACTTTTCACTGTTATTTACTAGCAAAAGGGATTTCATCTGGTAACTAAAGCATGACTGACTTTTCTTTCAAAGAATTTTTGGCTGCTTGCCATGTGTTTTGCAACTGAGCAACATCATGGTACATTTCATTTGTCACTGGTGTCAGCAAGCTCTCTTACAGTGCTTGAAATAGTTTTACCAGTTTGGGGCTTAGAGTGACTTAGATGAGTAAGTTGCATCTTACTGGAAGGTCAAATGAAAGAAATGCAGATTTATAGGTCTCCTTGGTGGAAAAAGTACAGAAACGCATGCCAATTCCAGATCAGCATTGCTTAACAATGACAACAGCAAAATTAAAAAGTAAAAGTAGGAAAGGTGTTGCTATGTCTTTGAGATCTTTTTCTGTAGAAGCCATGTTTTTGTTAATCTATGGCTGAAAGTTCAAAAACATATAATTACATAATGAAGTAGGTTATTTTTTCAAATATAGATCATTACTTCAGTTTGAACAGTATATGTATTAGTGTCTCCTCCCAATAACTGAACTGTGCCTTGAACTCTGACTAGTTTTTTTTCCACACAGATTTAAGACTAAAACATTTACTATTCTTTTTTTTCCTCAAGTTGAATCTTTTATTACTTAAACAGGGTTAACTTTTATTTTCTCTAAAACTTATCTTGCAGATCTTAGAATCTCAAGACATGTATTTCCTTGGACTGTTGTCTTTGCTTGTTTTGCAAAGCAAAGCCTTCAAGACAAATTTTCCTCATGAAACCATTGCTGAGCTTTCTGTGAATGTTTATAATCAGCTGCGAGCTGCAAGAGAAGACGAGAATATTCTTTTCTCTCCTCTGAGCATCGCAATAGCCATGGGAATGGTAGAGCTCGGAGCCCACGGAACCACTTTGAAAGAAATTCGACATTCCTTGGGTTTTGACAGCTTAAAAAATGGTAAGGCCTTTTAATCATGTTTTACGATGGGGCTTTTTGTCTTAAAGAAAGAGATGGCAATGCCTGAACGACGATGGAAGTGGCTCGGTCGTGTCCATGGGTTATTAATCAGTAGGCTTCTTGGCATCCTGTTTGATGGCCTGAGCATGCTGAAGCGTGCTTTGGAGGATTCTGCATAAGCTGAGAGGCGCTAACATACAACCCTGGCTTGGGCACCTGAATCATAAGCAATTACAGTTAACTGTTGATCTTGCTTTCTGTCTGCAAAATAAGCTTGCCTTTGCCTTCGGAGTTATAAGAAGATTTTTAGGAACATTCTTTTTAGGGATTATAATGAAACCTGAAAAGGAAAGCAGTGGTTCTAGCAATATTGCTTATAAGAAAGTAAGAAAATCTTAGTAATTTAACTGGAACTGTCTCTTACTTTGACAGAACTTGTTTGGTTCTTGTAGGTAGAACCTGTAGATTGTTTATCCTAATTCTATGTTGCTAATGTTCTGTCTGCATTGCATAATGTTGCATACAGATATATAAGCTAATTTAGGAAATATGAAAGTCTTGATTGTTTCAGCACAATATGCCACGTGTTCCCATCAGCCTTTCTGAGAAACAGGATTCACTTATTTAGCAGAGAACAATACTACCACACCGTCCTGTTTGTAGTATGGGATGAGCTAAGTCATGCATCTGGATGTACTGCTGTGCTGTGGAGTGCCAGCACACTCTGTTAGTGCAAGCAACTGTAATATGACTGCAAATGGAGGGCTTGAATGAATGGCAAAAAATGACTTTGAAGAGGCAATTTCTATGAATTTTGATATCAAAGTAATTGGTTTAAAACCTGAATGAGATTTCTCATTCATACAATGTACTGGACTTCTAAGTCTTCAGTGAAAGGATCTTGGGGAGGAATTTCTGAATACAAGTGTTTGAGATGTCTGCGCAGTGGTACTGTTGAACACAATGTCTCTCTGTGGAGACCACAGCACATATAAAACATCGGTAAATTATCTCTTAGCTATAATTGAAGAAGTTATGCAGTTGATTCGAGCTGGGCCGTTCACTGTTCTTGCATATGAGTGATATTCAGTGAAAGTACTCCAATGATTTCTGCTTGGAATATATCATTGCATTCAATTTTTAAGTTTTGGCATTGGTTTTGTTGTTTTTTTTTTTTTAATTAGGAATTTCAGCTTCAGGTAGATGATACAACAGTACAAGCTTCCTATCTTAAAGCAGACTACTTTAATCCTACTCAGGATTCCTCATTACCCAAGCAAATGATTCTGTCTACCCCATGCAGGATCCTGGGAAATTCTAGACCTGTTTTTTGCAGAGAGAAGTCTGTGGGGAAGTCCTTAGCTTCAAAACTTGAAGTTCATTTTTCCTTAAACAGCTGGGTTTTAGGATGTAACAAAAATTCTGTTAAGGATTTGTGGTGGCAAGACATACAAGTGTCACTTGTAAGAATAATATTTTAATTACTCTTTTAATGTTAAAAGGATTAACATTGATAGCTTTGTCTGTGATGGGATCCAAGTGTCTCGTTAATTGTGCTAATTATAGGTAGTAGAAGAAATAAGCTCTAAATAATATGTTCTGCCTTGTAGATTGTTCTTTCAGATCTGAAGGTGTGTGTAGGTTTAGAAACAAGTTTATTAAAAAAAACCCACAGCTTTTTTTTTTTTCCCCCCATAAAATGTCTTTGTGAATTTCCAGCAGAAAAAACATGGAAACACTGAAGCTGTTTTTCTTTCCTCAGGTGAGGAGTTTACCTTCCTGAAGGACCTTTCTGATATGGCAACTACTGAAGAAAGTCATTATGTTCTCAATATTGCTAACTCTCTCTATGTGCAGAATGGATTTCATATCAGTGACAAATTTCTGCAGTTGGTGAAAAAATACTTTAAAGCTGAAGTAGAGAATATAGATTTCAGCCAAAGTGCAGCTGTAGCTACCCACATCAATAAGTGGGTGGAGAATCATACAAATAGTAAGTCCACGTCATTCTTCTATATACTTTCTGCAGTAAGTGTTTGTGTTTCCAAAGTTATACAGTGTTGTTGAATTGTTGCCTTGGCTTTTATCTGTTCTGTTTGAGACTAAAGTATCTCCTCCCATAAAAAGAACTCTAGCATCAGCTCTTTGTGAAGTTTTTTTTTTTTCCTGTGCAGGAATGATCTGTCTTAAGTAATATTAGCTATTGCTAATCATATAGTAGTATCTGGCTGAATATTTTTCCCCATCTTACTATGTTGAAGTACCTGTAACATTTATTGAAGGAGAATGTTTTAATAGTAGGCTTTTTAATAGTATTGTAATATTGATTTTGGTATTAAATTACAAAAAAAAAAGATAAGTACTACTGCTAATTGCAGAAAAGTTGTCTACAAAGGGGTTATTAGCCTAGGCTTTGGATGTATGGAGTATTGCTAGTTCCCTGAGGAACTCAAAGTTACAAGGTACTTAGAAATTAGAAAACGAAGAAATAAAAAAGATAATTTTGAACCACAAAATCAGACCCTGTAATGTAATCTTTTCCAATGTGAGGAAACTAGATAGCATGTTGAGAGAGTAGTTGATTTCAGGAAGACCGTCAACAGAGTTTCACAACAAAAATTTGCAGCAGGGGAGTAAGCACAAAAAACACAGTTGTAAATAAGCATATTCAGATCTGCGTGATATAGTGCTCGCTTTGCTTGTGGAATCCCAAAGATGTGACATTTTCTGAATACATGTAGAGTCTCAAGGTACGGGAGCAAAGTTAGTCCCCTGTTGTACGGATCAAAGCATAATCTTATTCTAGTTCATCTGACACTCTGGAAGTTGATATTTTAAGAGTAATTCAACAGGGGCCTGTTGTACCATTGTAAGTCTGAAGGTACCAGAATCCTCTGTAAGGAATTAACATGTCCTCATGTAGTCTGAGCATTTAAGAATCCATAATGCTTTATGGAAATGTATGGCACCAAAGTGGAAAAACACCTCATATAATGCTTTTATTCCATTTTGGAAATGATCTGTTTTTTCCAAGGGAAAATTGCAGCTATTATATTCATAGTAAATTCTGCCCTTTATCTCAAGCTACAGAAATAGAGGCAATGTGAGTGATGCAGCAGATTGCAGTGTTTTCAGAGAAACGTGGTGTCTGTCTGAATGAAAAGTAAAATTCTCTTTCTTGTAGAAAGAACAGCAAGTTCTCCTGCTTAACACCTGCCACATGTGCTGACCGAGCTCATAACCATTGCCCTGGAAGGAGCTGTGCAGAACTAACAAAGGCGGCTGTGGGTCTCAGTGTTAGGTTGCAATAGTAACGGTCCCTCAGCCTAGTCTCTGACCACTAGATCTCATTCTCTCCTGCCTGCCAGCTCTGACAGAGGAGGCTCACTTTCTCATTAGGAAAGGGGTACAAGACAGGCAGGTTTCCAATTCTAGCATGTTAAGCGTGATGGGAGGCTTGGAGCAGAAAACATAACTGTGAAAGTTTCTCTGGCCAGAAAAATTCTTAACATTATATTAGTGTATTTACAAGATGTGGCTGAAAAATATAAGGGAATATGATGTACCGAATAGGAACAGAAAAACTTCTTAATTTTTCCTTTTTTTTTTCCAACCACGGAGAATGAGTATGGCAGTATCGGTCACATCTCATTTCCAAGAACGTTCTAGATAAAATGAATTACAAACAGCAACCCAGAAGAAATACTGCCTATGGTACACAAATTTCAGACCAGTTAGTCAGTGTCATATGCTCCAGAAAGCAGAATTAATTTGTGTGTTAAACCATGGATTAAGAAGTAATAATCAGACTGAGGAGTGTGTTTATTTTAACACCTTGCATTGCAGTATCAGTTAAAAATAGAAGTGAGCAAGGAAGCTATCTGAAGTAGGCTGTAATTCTTCAAGAATAGTGACAAATCTGGTCAGTGCACCAAATTTAACAAACTCAGAATTATTTTGCTGAAAAGCAAGCCATTTAAGATGAGCTAAAGCAGGTAATGTACTGTATTCTGATGTAAATGACTTATTTAGGAGTAGGAGCAAAGCAGCTGCCATGCTCAGCTGACATACCTCCCATGAATAGAGCAGATGCTAGATGTTTTTCTCTTTTGCTTTTCAAGAGCTAATGTCAGTGGAACAAATGCTGTGAATTTATGTGGTTTTTTTATGATTACTCCTTACTTTGAAGTCAGTAGGACATTACTGAAACTGAATGCTTCCTTCAAAATTGGCCCAGGTGAGGTTCCAGTGGGTATTCTTATACACTTCAAATTAAGCACCCATTTAAGTGCTTCTTTGGATTGGAGCCAAAGTTTGTAGAAGTTCTGACCTTAAGACAATTGTGCTGAACTGTATTATAGCACCAGTGTAAACATTCCTTATGTGACCCCTTTTTCACGTGGTTTCATTGTAGGATATATTTATGTAGTGATCAAGAAACAGTTGACTAACATGTACTTGATGGAAGGGTTTATGCACCTACACTGTGATTTTAGGTTTACAAAACACTGGTAGTTTAATTTGAGATTTAATGAAACATCTGAATTGGAAATTACATGTTAGCACAGCTTTTTATTTTCTTGCATTTTTCAAGCTAAGACAGCTTTGACATGCAGACTGACAGTTGGTTTTCTTCTTAGATATGATCAAAGATTTTGTGTCTTCAAGAGATTTTGGTGCTCTAACTCATTTGGCTCTCATCAACGCAATCTACTTTAAAGGCAATTGGAAATCACAGTTCAGACCTGAAAATACAAGAACTTTTTCTTTTACTAAAGATGATGAAAGTGAAGTGCAGATTCCAATGATGTACCAGCAGGGAGAGTTTTACTATGGTGAGTTGAACCTTTAGCAATTTAAAGCTAGTAAGTCTTACCTTAATAGGTTTGTTGCAGTAATGCTCATTTGTATTGTTGTCAGTTCTTTCACCTAGAATTTTAAATGTGGTGTTTGTCCAGTGAAGGGATTCTGATTTTGATGTCTTTTCATAATATGCATGCTTGTGTATTATAACTAGATAGCAACATTTATAATGACCTCTTTCCTGAATACTTTTTTAGATATGTGTTTGGTGCCACATGGTGGATTTCAGAATGTTTATCTATTATATCTAACCTTTTTACATTTCTTGTGAGCTAGTCCTGCTTCTCACTAAAATATTTTTCTTGTGCTGTGCTAACTATGAAAATGAATAATGTTTGCTCATTACTGTTGTAATATCCTTAGAAAGGTAAAATAGGGGTTCTTTGAACAGTAGAACTAATGATCGTTTTTATCCTGAGCTTGAACTCTAAGTCGGTTCTACGGTGTCTAACGTTGGCAGTATTTCACTCAGTCTCATCATTGAAAAATTGTCTCTCCTGAATAAAAAAACCTCTGCCCATTTCCATAAAACTCTTGGCAGCCTTAACAACTTTTAGACTTCTCTGTCTAACCAGTGGAAGTTAGGTAATAGGTTTAGTAGTGTGATTATCTACAAACTGTGATTGCATAAGCTTGTTTTCTTCAAGAAAGCAGATGTAAGCCTCAAATCCTGTGATGAAGAAACCAATATAAATTTTATACAGAATAAAGATGGTCATTTCTAGTTCCAGGATCTAGTAAATACTGCCTAGTATTAGCCTTTTATTTTTCCCCTATCTCCAGTGAAGACAAGAAAATACTACTGATAGCTTTTTATTGTTGTTTTTCTCTTTTAGGAGAGTTCAGTGATGGCTCCAATGAAGCAGGTGGTATCTATCAAGTTCTGGAAATACCATATGAGGGAGATGAGATTAGTATGATGATCGTTCTTTCCAGACAGGAAGTTCCACTGGTCACATTGGAACCCCTGGTCAAAGCCTCATTGATTAATGAATGGGCTAATTCTGTAAAGAAGCAAAAAGTGGAAGTGTATTTACCAAGGTGAGAATATGCTGCCATGTCAATAGAAGGGGAAAGACTGCATTCAAATTGATTGGAGTAGCAGAGTAGGTAAAATTTGAACATCTTGATCAAGTCTGCAGTTATGTAGCACCCATGCAAAGGTTGCTTTGACAAGACAGCCTAGGGGGCATGCAGTGCAGAATGATGGTTGTTTGAGCAACAGATGAGCACTGCATTTGCACCCCTTTCATATGTAAGCTCCAGAAAGGAGAATTTCATCATCAGGAATATATCTACCTTGAGTGATGTTCAGAGTATTGCAGAACTCATTACTGGTAAGTTCCGTTTACACAGGAGCCATAGAAATATTGCAAGTCTGAATTAACTAAAGCTAAAATGTATCATTGAGGTCCTAATTAGATTTCTATGTGCTGCTAATTTAAAAAGTTCTAATGGTGTGTGTCTGTGTATATACAAATGGTTGAGTGTTGAGAGGTAATTCCAGTCAATTTGTGTCTTTTGTCTTTTTTCTTAGTTGTAATAAGTGCTGGTTTCTTTTTCCTTAGAGGAGCAATAGAGTAACAAGACATTACTACCAGAAGGGATGAAACTTCTGTCAGTTCATTTACAGACATAACTTGTGTGTGCTCAGTGACATATTTGCTGACATATACCACTTAGTAATCTTTCCTAGAATTCTGTTTCATCTACCTTTGAATATTTTTCATGCTTGCCCTACACTTGACTTAGTAACAGAGTTGTTTACTACTAAACGTCACTAATAATGTGTAGTTGGATCATGCTGTCCTTCAAATGATTCATAACAATTTCATTGAAGTGTTTATATAACAATATGGCACAAGTTTGATGTGGATCACTTCTACTTATTCTACTTTTGTGGCACTGTGCAGCGGGTACATGGCAGCTGAAAAAATAAACTGTAGTGAATCCTTTTAATCATGAAAGTAGTTCTTTGTTTTCAGGTGACTTGGAGATTTGAGTTTGTTATATTTCACATGTAAAGAGATGGGCAAGAATCCCTGCAGTTAATCAGCTTCCTTTCCAAAGCAAAGACCACTTTCAAGAAGCTAACTGCAGCTAAGCACAATAAAACAAGGCTAGCCAGGATAAATTAGGTTGAGATGGAGTGGTGCTGTCAGTCTGTCCTGATTCCAGCTCGAGATGGAATTCCATTTCTCTTTAAAGCTGTTACACTTGCAGCCAGAGTGGCAAGGCAACGGCAGCATTTGGGGGCTATTTTTCTTTGCCCCACAGTAAGAGTTCCATTCTTTTCTAAGTAGCATTTCCTTTGAAGAAGCATGGAGAGCAGCAAAGAGCTGTGTTGCAGATTTTATACAAACTGAACCTACTGTACACTATTCCTGTGGGTTTTGTTTGTTTTTCTCTTGGAGCTTTAGATCCCAGGAGCTTTAGTATTAACAGCCCCTCAGAAATGAGGGGAGGGGTGTTTCTCCTAGGCTATTTCTCCTGCAGGCTTGGGCAAACATTACCTAGATGTTAATGAAAAGTAAAATATGAGGATTCTTCCATCCCTTAAGCTTTCCTTTTATAACTGGAGCATTTCACAGCCTATGCGTCAGGTGCTAAAGTTGGACATCTTGTCTCAAAGAATTTCTAGAGTGCGAGATCCACAATAGAAGTCGTTCTCCATTGATTGTATAGGGAATCTGTGAAAACTAGCTTCCAAATTTAAGAAGCTTAGGTATCTAAAGTTAAATGCATGAATGTCATTGAAAACATATTAATTATGTTTATGACTCGACTTAAGTTTATAGAGGTAGTTTTGGGTTTTAGATTGCTTTTAACCAAAAGCAGAGACTGTAGGATTCTCTGTAGCCATGTTCTCAGAAGTGAGTTTGAGGCCTAGGTTTTCTGTGGTCATAAAATGTCCTTATTTATTCCATACTCAGGCTAGTTGTCATGCCTGTCTCTCGTATCCAAGAACCTCAAAGAACTTGGTAAACACTGGTGAGTTAAGGCTGTACAAAGGCAAAACAGTACAATGTGGTGCTATTACCTTCACTATTTTCAGATTATAAAAGATAACTATCATGAGCTTGAAATTCCATGTAGTAATACTGCAGTTTCCTTACAAAAATTCCAAAGATTAATTGCATGTTCCTAAGGTGTTGGATTTCCATTAGGGATTCAGAGGTGATCTACAGGATTTTATCAATGCTCTAAATAAACACTTCATAAATATTTTATGCTCTGACTCAGAAAGGCATGTTATGAAATGTGGCCTGCGGGCTCTGTCCTCTGAGAAATTGAAAGCAGCAGTGGAATAAAATTAAATTTTTATATCCTGAAAGATGCTATCCAATTATAAAGTGAACATTTTTTAAACTTATACATTTGTAATAAGACCTGAATGACTAGCCAAAGCAGAGTTAATCACAACTTTCCAATTTCTGTCTACATTATCTGTGTGCAAATGAAATTGTGTATTATTCCTCTTAATAGCAAAGGAGAGATTTGTACAGAATTGTTAAATTATACTTTCTCATTTTCATTTTCAAATCATTGTTTCCAGCTTAACCCAGACTAAAGTGATCAACATTTTAATCCACTTTTTGCATAGGAGTGAAACAGACCATGAATCTAATTTACAAAGGTGTCTCTCTAACATAAATTATTTGAAGAGCATAGGAGGAACTAGTACCTAATAACACTGCTACAGTCTGCAGATCTCCTCTTACGGATTGTTCCAGTGTGCCCAGCTCTTTATAATGACTTTCTTGCTTTTTTATACTTTTAAAATACCTTAAAAATGCCTTAGATGACATTGAAATTGTAAGTTGTTTTAGCTGAAGGTTTTTTTCTCAGAAAAAAAAAGAAAAACCAAAAAAACAAGCCCCCAAACTCCACAAAAACTAAAACAGCAGCAGCAACAAAAACCCCAAACCAAAAAAACCCAGACATTCCCCCCTTTTTTTTTTTTTTTTAACATGCTCTCTTGAGTCCCCTTTTCATGAGGAATAGGCCAGTGCTGATTGTTCTTGAGATAGTCCCGGAAGAGGCATAAAACTGTCCCACTGAAATACTTACTTAGCCAACTTCTGCAGCCCATATTTAGCCCTGGATAGAAGGACCTTGCCAGAAAAAGAACCATAATCTGCCTTGCATCACCTGGTCAGAGCAGTTGTATGGAGGTTTTGATTTGTTTTTGCTGTTGGGGGCAGGGGGCTTTGCTTGCATTGTTTCTTTTCAGGCTATTAAATCATGCAGGCTAGTTCTAGCACCTCAGGCCAACGTAGCTGAAATTCCAGCCAAAATGTTGGAATTTATATCAGTTGGCAGCTTCATATTGTAGACTGCTTGCTATGTTAAAATAGTGATTCAGATCCTGAGGGCCTGTTCTCCAAGCAAGAATATTGTTGATTTCAAGCAATGGAGCCATTCCTTTGTTTGCTTTTTTTCTGCAGAATTTAATGTATTAGAGCCAATCTGAAAACTTGGAATTTCTTGCTTTTGCTTATTCAGAACTCTTAGTAATTTTTGAGATTATAGCCTTTGGGATGAATCACACTAGGCTCTAGTTCACTTCTGTTGTATAACTAGGTGTACCCTAATCCGTCTTGATTCTGTGGATCCTGACTGTCTAAGGACTTAATGAAAAATTCAGCATTTCAGAAGGGTTGCACAGCATCACAAAAGATGAAGCCATCTTTCTTCTGTCTTGAAAGTCTCTAAAATAGAAGATGGCCTGATATGGTATGTTAAAGTTAATGCTCTATACAAAACCTAAAGGTTCAGATATATAACTAAGGAGACTGTCAGTGACATAAATGCATCCTTTTAATCTAATGCTTGTGTAAGTTTTCAGTTTCATGAAAGTATCATCATTCTCTGCTAAACTCTCCAGAGAACTGTTTGTTAGTTTCTCAATCTAATTCTACTTCCTAAGCATCTCACTCTGTTCTTCATTTCATGTAGGAGAGATCCAAAGATGGTGGAAGTCAAGAGAATTATTTTTGTTCAGCTATTTGGCCTGCATTTTATGTGTAGGAAGTAGAGAGACTTTGCAAGTGAACATTGTAAAAATAAATATAGAGCTAACTCACAGCTTCACTTCTCCTTGACTGTGGCCAACAGCTGATAGGCAGAGTCAGTATCCCTTATTAATATCTTTCTGCTCAGTGCTTTCTAAGGTGGTCTGTAGAAGGATATATCCATGAACGTGTGTGTTTGTGAACCTTCTAGAACTGCTTAAATACAGAAGCTCTTCTCTTTACTCAACAGACCAGTTTTTCTGTTCTGGTCCTATGGTGAAAATACCTCATCTTTTCTTCAGTGTCTGTTTCTCAGACTTTCCTTTGTGGTTTTTTAATGCTCCCAGCTGAATTATTCCATGACTTCTGATACTGAAGTATTGAAATTGATTTTTCATAGTATTTTTAGCATCAGAAACACCTAAAAGATTGTGGTAAAAAAATATGACCATCTGTTTCGTTATATGCGACAAACACTGCACATAACCATGTGTCAGGGCTAGTATCATGTGGCTTGGCATTTCCAGAGTCTGGAGGTACAGCAAATGCCTGGCTTGGGAAATGAGACTGAATGTCTCTTCTGTGTTCTAGGTTGTCAGCTTTGATTTTTGAATACCTATATCACTGTCTATAAGGAATGCAAAGAAATCCAAATATGACTGCAGGATAACTCATACCAAATGTTTACGTCTGATTGTGTAGCCTGAAATTAAATTTCAAAGTGTAAAGCAGCCCTATTATTTTTCAAAGGAGGCTAGTTCTGATGCCAGCTAAAATATTTGAAATATCATTAATAGCTTATCTGTAACTCTCACCGTTCTTCAGAGCATGTGAGAAAGGAGGGGAAATACTATTTTGAATACTGGATTAGAGTGGGTTTTTACCATAAGACAAACTAAAAGGGGAGAAGGGAAGTAATTAGTTTTATTTTTGTAAAGGGATAGTTTGGTATTTATACAGCTGATGTGATGTTTTCAGTCTACATTATTTGTCATAAAAAGCAGGAGCTCACTTCTATAGATATTGTAGTGACCTTCACTCATCCACTTGTTCAGTATTTGCCTTTCCAGAGGTTTCAGTCAGGGGTAGAGCCTCTGTCCAGTAGTTAAGTGACTGCTGCTATCCTTCATGTAGGTATCCTTTAGCAATATAATCAGTCAACTTGTTTGAATTTTCTTTTTTCAGGTGCATATTCAGTTGAGACTTTATGGTTTGGGTGGGGGTTTTTTGTTTGGGTTTTTTTTTTCCAAAAAACATCTCCCAGACCTCTTCCTTGATTAGTATGCAAAAACATCTTCTGTCATGCTTTCTTTCTGGGTCACAATTCATTGCTTAGCAGATAAGTGTGTTTTCTGTCTAGTGGTCCAGAGACATAAACCCACCTGATTTCCATTTATATCTTATAGTGATTCTCTGCAGTTGGAAAAAATGCTTTTTTGCAGTTATTTTTCTTATTTGTGACCTCAAATTTTGCTTTTCATGCAGACTTTTCTTGCTACCGTCGTATCCTGATATTCCTTACTAGTTTGACATTGCTAGTTAATAGCTAAATTGTTTTTAAAGCTTGGTATGTTTAATACAAACTGTGGTGAAATAAAAGCCAAAAAGGGAAAAATACACCACTCTGACATTTTTATAAAATGCATTTTAACATTAATTTGCCTTTTCTGCATGTTTGTAAGGTACATACAGTTGGATGTATTTTTCAAAAATGTTACAGTGTAGTTTTAATATAGAAGAAAATATTTCTGGGTTTATTCACTCTGGATTTATTCAATGTGCACAGACAGGACCTCTGTACTGTTTAACTCTAGCATTGGGAATCAAGCCTTAATTAATCTTTCCTAGGGTTTTTACTCGAGTCTCTAAAATAGATCTGGGCATACTTCAAGTGTGTAGGAGAGTAAAACTGGTCTGTAGTTTTGGAGCCTAGAAGCCAGAGAAATTTGAATGAGCAACTTGTAGATTTGTCCCTTAGCTTAAAGCTAAAATTGTGCATAAGGTCTTGCGCCCTCCCTGCCTCTGTAGTTTTTGACTAGTCTGAGTGTCCACAGCTTTCTAAGAGGAGAAGAAAGCTAACAGGACCCATTTCCTAAAATTCTATTGGCTGTTTTCAGGTCATCTCATATGTGTACCTACATCTCCTCATCTCATTCATTAAGATAATGCCACTTACTTTTTTTTTTTTAACAAATGCTGCCACAATGACTGCAGAATATGCCAGAACACCATGGGAAGCTTCCTCCAGTACACAGATCTTTGTTGGTCTCTTCTGATTCTTTTGAGAACTGCCAAAACAACAAAATCACAAGAATCAGTTCTTGGGTTTTTATTCCAGGCATACCCTGGAATTTGTCTGGACAGGGTACATGAACACTTGTGATGCCACCAGTGATTTATTGATCCTGAACTATCTCCACATCTTATATTAACTTGCATAAAATTCTTCTCTGGGTAATGACTAATATCTATTCCATCATAGATTTTTGGCTTCTAATGACATTTTTAGGTTCATTATGAATGTAGATTGTGTATTGGATTTTTCTTATTCTGTGTAAATGTTGGAAGTGAGGAAGATCCACTTGACCCTTATCCAGTTGTCTTTTGATGTCCAGATTATTCTCTTTTAAGCTGCCAAGGCTGGTATGTACCACGGTATCATACATTTATTTGGTTCCAGCACAGGTAAAATCCATCACTAAGGACTGCAGTGTAATTGCAGAGTTGTTTCTGACTGAATGGCTTGCTGGAGAAGCTGTAACAGCACCTTATGGACTACATGTTTTGTGTTGTATAGTTATAACCAGTCACTGTCAGCATAATGTAAATCACTAATAATTTGTTTTGTCATTCTACAGAAAACCCGTAACTCACCCATACCAAACATTTACAGTCTCTTGTGTTTGTCTGTAGACTTCTGGCATTTTGTGGTTGGGGCTACCATTCTTTTTATTATTCTGACATATTTATTTGTTTCTCCAGCTGTCCAGTCTGTTTCTGGACATGCATAAAGGACTTGAGTCTTTTTTATGTTACTGATGACAGGCTTAACTCTTATAATGTTTGAAAAGCAGTCTTTGTAAATGGAACAAGCTTTTGCCCAAAATCTTGCCCTCAGGATAAATCTCAATTTGTCCTTCTAGCATAGTAACATAGCCTAGAATATGACTTTGCAAGCTAACACTGAAATCCTGCCAGGTTATACTCATGTGCATTTGCACTAACTATTTATTTTCCCTGTTCTTTACTTACAATTAAAACCCAATTAAAATTTTGCCACCAGAGTAATTAGAAGCTGAGTCAGAAATGCTTTATATTCACGTTCATAACTGATGGTCTTTGCTTATACTGTTTAAATAAAAATGGAGTATCTTTCTTACTTTCTTGCTCCTTCTTTGCCAACAGCTGTCTATGAACTTTGTGCTGTCCTTTTCCTTATTTGATATTCTATTCTAGTATGTGTAAAATTAAATTCAGTTTTTATAGTAAACCTTCTGTATAAAAAGTAAGCTTTTACATTAGCTACTGCATAATTTTGCACTGAGGTTTTTTGATCAGGGACTATACATTCTGTTAGCATATTTTTTGATTGCTTCTGCATTAGAAAAAAAAAACTAGCTGTGAGAGTAAACTAACTTGTTTGTAAGCATTTTTTTAGACGGTGTCACTATACCATACTACTAGTCCCCAATCTCCTACTTTACGTTATTTACCTTGATGTTTCAGTTGTCATTCTCTGGAAATTTTAACCTTCTAATAACAATAAGTACTGCTTACATCTGGGCTTCTTGTAATTTTCTATTATGTTCTCCAGGTTCACAGTAGAACAGGAAATTGATCTGAAAGATGTCTGGAGAGGCCTCGGAATTATGGAGCTGTTCAGCAGTAGTGCTGACCTCACTGCGATGTCTGGTAAGGGGATCTTGTGTTGTGTCTCAAGGTATATGCAGAAGTACTAAAATCACCTAAGGATAACCAACAAGCTCTTCAAAGTGTTTTTATGGAAAAAAACCACCCAACCTGCTAGCAATTTTTTGATCCTTTGTGATTTTTGCATCATGTAAGAGTCTGCTTACTATAGAAGCAGTTGGGGCAGGGGAGAAATTAATCAGGGGGTGGGATTTTTGACCTGGGGAGGTTCATTATGAGTATTTTGGAATTGGATCTCGTTAGAAATGTAGAGAAAGTGTAACACTATGCAAGAGGCAGGTGCACATTAGAGCAATATATGGCTTCAGTGCCTTGATGGCAAATGGGATTCGCACAACAAGGGGGTTGTCATCTTTTTATCTCCAGAGGCTATTTGTTCACAGCATTAAGCTGTTATACAATTAGTCATCTCCCCAGATACCTGCTGTATAGAAGCAGCAGAGGAAAGAAAGTGTTCTGAGATAAAAGCAATTTAGTCACATATGCTGCTTGCCTATTTCAATATGTTGTCAACACTTTATTTTCAGAAGTTGAAATACCCAATACGTTTAGAAAATGAGGTGGAAATGAGATATTTATGCTTTTAATAACACCTAAAAGGTATTGAAGTGGCACAAAAGGCAGTAGAGACATCTTTGCCTGAGAAGTTTTCATTTTTGCCTGACAAAAGTAGCCACTCAGGCAGTGTATTTAGTATGGTCTGTCTAGACCTGAATTTTGGCAAACCCATTTGTTCTCTATCTAGAAGCATGTCACAATGTAACATTGCTGTCATTGTTCTTGTAATTTATGCTTATATACTGCTCCCTGTATGGTGGGTTTTGGGGGGTGGGTTTTTTTGCTCTATGGGTTACTGCCTAATCAGCCAGGTAAATCCTTAGCTGATGGGAAATACCTGTTCTTAATTGTCTGACTCTGGAAACAATCATACCTGTGTGGCTTATTGAGAATAGTGGTAATGAAGGTAAACTCCCTTTAAAAATTTACAGCAGAAATGTTTGTGATTTTCATATCCTTTTCACTTTTGCTAAATTTGAAATGTTGTTTACAATGTATCATGTAGCTTTTTCCACTGTTTTGCAGCTTTCACTTTTCCAGTGAAACTGTGGGAAAAGCTAGAGTTAGCTAATGTGAAAAGAATTTGAATAAATGAAAAATCCTTCTTTAAAGAAATAACATTTTTCTGAAGAAAAACACCTTCAGTTTCTCTGCCACCCCAAAGAAAAGTAAGCTTTCCAATAAATTCTGGTCTATGTACATAGAAGTATTTACTTGAGGAAAAGTACTAAGGAGAACGGAAAATACGTAGGGGAGATTGAACCACAAAGGCAGTGCTTGGCTCTTATTTAATTTCATGTGAAATTCACCTATATATTGGGGACTAATTCTGTAGTCGAGAGGTTAGCAGAAAGATTGGAACATGCTTGTGTTTTAATCCATGTGAGTAATAATTTGTTCAAAGTTTTACATTTTTGACAATTGTACTGTACAAAATCAAAATGCCATGTTTTGCGTGACTGAATTAACTCCTCTGCCATTTGAAGATTAACTTGTTTATTAAGTAATGTAGAGCAGTGTATAGAGAGAATTCCTGAGTTTTACTGTAACATTCTTGCTTTTCATTTAAGAGGGCATGTGCCACCAGGTGATGAAAAGGTCATTCATAAATTAAGAATAAGAAAATATTTTTGAAGTAATGTCTTTAATGAAAACCCTGCTGTTGATGCTATGGAGGTGAAATTTTGAGTAATTAAAATACAGAATATGTTTCCTATTTCCAATTTTCACAATGTAAAATGGGGAGGGAGGAGGAAGGGGGAAAAAAAATCATGAAGAAAATGTTGAAAGCTTGCTTTTACAAATACCTGAATAGTATGTCAGGTAACAGGAAAGTTGAAGCCAGAAGTTTGCATGCTTCTCAGCATCAGCCCTCTGGAAAATTTGGCACTTCATGAAGCCTTAAATGCAGATATTTGAACAAAATGTTTGTCTGGACACTTTTAATTTAGGAAGATACAAATCATAAAAGAAATCTTAGGAGATTTTTGAGAAATTCTGTTGCGTTTAAAAATACTCTCCTCCCCCTCTCCTATTACTCTTGCTTTTAGATTAGTGTCAAGGAAAGCCTTCTGCAATTTCAACAACAGCCCTAATCTTGTAATCAGATCCAGGCACAGATTGTTGAGTTCAGTAAAATTCTATGTGGGTTTAGTGGATATAAATCAAATGGCAGGATTACAGACTTATTTTTCAATATTTAGAATTTTTTGCTTTTTGCACTCAATCTGAAAAATGGAAATAGATGAGTCAGCTTTACCTTCTGGGATGTCTGGATTGTGAGCAACCAAAGAGAAAGTATTAATCCAAATGCACATTTTAAAGGTTACTCTCTTGCAGAAATTAAGTTCCTTGTCAATTAACACTGGTGAGTAGGAGGACATTCCTATTTGGCTGTCTAGTTGCATGTATTCTGACTCTCACTTTCAGCAGAAGACTTTGACAGGTGTTATTTGCATCTCTGATTCCATCAGGTGTTCAAAATAATCTTGAAACAACTTCTGGGTTTTGGGATTTCATAATTTACACAGCACGTAAACTTGCTACTTGAGTATTTTCACACCTCTTAGGACTTACCCTTGAACTAATTTCAGTACTAAAATTCCCCTTCTCTTTCAAATGATTATAATATTTCTTAATGTTGTATAATGCTTTAAATGGCAACTGCTTTTAACCTCGGGGTGACGTGCATTTCAGTGAGGACTAAAGTGATCTTAATGACTTACTTTCACAATATAAAGTAGTTAGAAGAGCATCGGTCCAGTAAATAGCTCTTCAAAGTCTTGACTGAGGTAGGTATAATTTTTCTGGGACAACCTAAGCTAGAAAAGCCAATAAACCTGCATGCTTTTTTAAAATGAGACTTGCGGAGCAACCAGTTGGTAGCTATGAGTAGGAGTTTGCAAGCATATGGAGTGTAATGACAAATGAAGTGTGATGCTAACGGAGTTATGTACATTAGAAGTAAGCTTCAGATTACTCCCACACATTAATGAGTATCTAGGCTAGGTCCTGCAGAAAGCTTAAACTTTGATACCAGATCTCCATGGGACTTTCTGAGAAGCTAACAATCAAATCATGTTGGCTTTTATGAAAAAAGCTAGAGAAAAATGATGTGATAGTAGATACTCAGGTAAGCCCCACCTTACCCACAGTGAAAGCCATAAAGGAAAGGTGTATAATAATGACAAGATATGTGTGATATTGAAGTATTGCAGTCAGTGATTTGACAATCGCAAAATAGAACAAAGAGACGACTGCCTGAACACTCAGTGACAACATTATGCTTCCATATGAAAACAGATTCATTCACTTCGGGGAGAGATGAATGAGAGGGATGTGATAGTAGCAATATAAAGAGAAGAGTCTAGAGAAAGTAAATTGGGATGTGGAATTGCTCTTTTCACCATCCAAGGACAAAGATATCCAATGAAGTGAAAGGCAACAAATTGAAACCAAACAGAAAATATTTCTCTTATGGAAAACTTAACCACAGAGATCTTTGCTGGGTATTCCTTGAGGTCATGAGATTGGTAGGATTAAAAAAAAAAAATTGCCTCAGAGCACTCAAAGCTATCTATACTACATTGAATAAAGGCATTCTGTATATTCTTTGTATGAGAAACTTAGTTTAGGGTATAAGGCACATGCTGGGTGAGAGGGTATTTTTCTCTTGTAACTGGTGCTGTAGTTTTCACCTGTAAAGCTTCTTGTATCTTGCTCTGAAGCAACAATAATACTATAGATGGCGCAGTGTGCTAGACTAATTGGACGTACTGGTCTCATCTGCAGTGGCACTTCTTATAGTCATGTCAACTTAACAAAATATTGTTGGGTTTTTTTAATACTCAGATCCTGAATACATTTACAAGTAGGCCTACTGTTATACCTGATGGTAAATGTTAGCAGAGTTTATGCTGTCTGAATTAGGGTCTATAAACTCATCAGGTGGAGACCAGTCTTCCAAGGTGCTAAGTGTTCTGACCAGAAATATACTTTGGAGTACCGTAAGCACCACCAGGCTATGCAAAATAAAGCATTCGGGATGAAAATATGGAGTATTGCTGTGAATATTACAGGTCACAGCAGCAGGCTTAAGTGCTGTAATAAAAAAAACCCCCGTGATTGAAATACGTGATTAGGCTAAATGGGCATTTCTTTGTCTGTTTATAAAACATAAAAATTTATTTGGGTTTAAGATAAGGAACTGCAAATCAGTGTTTTTCTATAAAGGCTACAAAGTTGCTGTTTTCTTTTGGTATGTGCTGTATAGCTCAAATGCTCAATAGAGCTTTAAAATGGAATCAAGCAAGGATAGCAGAATACAGTTGCCTAGAAGGTAGAATTTGCAGAACTGACCAATAAATTTGCCAAGAATCCTGTTAACTGACATGTTTACAAAGGCAGCACACACATAATGTGAGACATGCACAACAGGACTTACTGATGTGCATGGATCTGTCACCCTTTTTGCCTTGGGTATCTATCCATTATCACCTACGTAAATGTTCTTCTACATCCAGTGTTTGTTCTAAAACGCTTTTTGAAAACTTGAGTCTTAATGGGTCCCTAAGGAATGGAAGCTTCAGCGGATGATTATTTAACACTTGATTGTAGTATTTAGTTAGCTTGTGATTTATTTTTTACAGGTAATGCTTGAGGCTTAAAGGTGATGTTAGTGTTGGAATGCAACCACATTGTGTTTTCAGGTGGCCTTTCTGTTAACAGTTAAGGAGACAAAAGCTGTGAGAATTGTACTTAGTGTTCAAGATAAGTAGATGCTGCATGTCCCATGTTTTAAAGTAACATGGTGGAAACTTTATCCTAGCTTTCAAGATAGCATTACTGAAGGCTTAGAACTGAAGCCTAGAACTAGTACAGTATTTAGCAATTTAGCGTATGTTTTCCTACGCACAATCCCAAGGGGAATTATTTGGGGCTTTTGTTACTGAGTTAAGCAGCTGAACTAGGAGGTTTGCTTCATTTCTGAGTGTAGATAGCAGTAATAAGACATGCTGGGGAGAGACATTTTAAACTGCTGCCTTCTATGAGTTTGGCTTGCATTAGTTACTAGAGCTAGTGGCTATTGTTGTGACAGCCAAAATAAATGGGTAACAATTAGATCAATAGTCCCAACCTTTCCCTCCTTAGTCAGCCTTCAGTTAAGAGTTTTGGTGTTGAACATTTTGTGAAGGATCAGAAATGCAGAAGAGTATAGCTGTCTCACTGGAGTGGTTAGATTAGATTTTCATGGTTGTGTATCTCCCTGTTGAGAAAGCTTTTATTCCTTTTTTAACTGCCAGTTGTGCTCTGTCATTACTGCGGGTTTTATGCAGGTACAATAAATGTATATCTAATCCTTGTTATGTCTTACTGATGAAACTTAGTCAAACAGATTAAATGGTGTTACGTGCCTTGTTTCCTGCAAGGTGCTGAGTATTCCAATAGGTCTGATCATTTAGCCACTGAAGAAAAGTAATGCAACATCCACTGACTTAAGCAGGAGTAGGCTTGGACCAAAATTAAAAGACTGACAAAGAAGGATGGAAAACAAACAAGACTGAAAAAAAACTAGTTGCATGGTGGTTTTTGCAATAAATATTTATCTTCAGCTTCTTTCAAATATAATGATAAGAAGAAAGAAAATACCTAATTTTCCTGGAGGAAGTCTATATTGCACCTAATGCAGAAATAAAATTATTTATGTATAAGTATTTGCCATATAACGTCATAACCCTTTTTCCCAATAGTTGCATTTAAAATCTTGTGTTCAAGGATTGTCTTTTACTGTGTCTGGTATACTGGTGCTCTAGGCAGTGCCAAGCTATTTTAATATCCGTAGTGTAGGAGAGCACTACAAATTTAAGCAAGGTAAATGGTGCTGTTAAAGGTATTGGCAGAAGGTATTTTAATGCAACTCTGATGCACAAAGCTCTTTACCCTTCCCTCTGTGGTATAGAAGGTGGATAATAGCATTGGGGTTTTTTGCAGTGTTTGGGGTTTTTTTAAATACTTTAGTCTTACTGTTGAGCCACTCAAAATATGTTTCCTTTTCCTCTCCAGATAACAAGGAACTTTACCTTGCAAAGGCATTTCACAAGGCATTTCTAGAAGTTAATGAGGAAGGATCAGAAGCTGCTGCTGCCTCAGGTACCTGACTGAAAAGCAGAACTAAATCAAATGTCTGGTTATTCTGTGTTAATTAATTTTTGAAAACTGACTTGCTGTACAGCCAGGAAAGCTAAATAGCATGTAGCATGAAGACACAGTACTGCTTTTCAGGGAGAATTCTGGAAATGAAAAGTGTTAGCATTTTTTTAACATGGTGTTTTTCACAAAGAATTTTGAGCATCCTGTGGAAAACCTCTTGTTCCTTATTTTGCTTCTGATTGTCAGGAGGGTACAGACTGCAATTTATGTTTTCTTTATGGAACTTAAGCATTGTAATTTTTTTACCTGCTAATTGAGATGGTCAGAGGCATTTGATCCAGAATAGTTAGAGTTGAGAGTTGTTGCAATTGCATCTTAGTAAGCTTGTATATAGAGATGCAAGATTGGAAGTACTAAATGCAAAAACATAGCTGGCCCCTCTTAATGCTAGGAGGCCAGGTGGTTGGTTTACTTCATTAGCACATGCTTTTCCTGAAAATAAATTACATTAGTTGCCAATATGTATGGTTAGGTGATTTCTAATTGCCTCTACTTGTACCAGTCTTTGAGGAAAGGAAGAATTACTTCCCTGGTCATGAATATCAGTAACTGGGTTGAATTGTAACATTGATATGGGCAGAAATTACTGTCATGCATGAGGCTTTATTAACAGTGCAGTGAAAATGTAAAAGTAAATGAAACACTGGGAAATAATAATAACATCCTGGAGAAATCCATGTATCTCCAAATAAAAATAACAAAGAGCCAAATTCTGCCTGATTCCCAGTTAATTTTACTTTCAACTTCTGCATTAAAGACTCAAGCTAAAAGCTGCAAGATCAGCCCATTTAGTTGTTGCATATTCCATAGTTATTAAGGGTTACTTTTTACTATCAGTTGCAGGCTTGGAGCTGTTTAAAACAGGTCAGCAGTGCTGTCTAATGTAATGCATTTTCTTTCTACAAGTGAGCGGGCATCATAACTCCCCTTAAGGTTCTGGATCTTAAAATTCATAAGCTGCTACCTCAGCCTGGGAGATTGTGCCACTCTCCATTGTTAATCATTCTTAAAGCATAAATAGGCATGCATTTACTCTGTAGGTCTCTTTCATGTTAGATTTTTCATGCTATTTTTTGCTGATGCTTAATGCTGAGAGTGTGAGGCTTCAGTGTCTGCTCATGAGCTTCACAAGTATCTCTCATGAAGAGCAGGAGAATGTGCAGTGATATTTAACAAGTTGTCTATGTTCTTTTTCCTTTAGGAATGATTGCCATTAGCAGAATGGCAGTGCTGTATCCCCAAGTTATAGTTGACCATCCCTTTTTCTTTTTGGTCAGAAACAGAAGAACAGGTGAGAATATTGTAGACTTCCACATTTTTCATAGTACATCAACAAATATACGAAAGAAAATTGCCTATTTTGATCAATGAACTGTCCTTGTATTATGAATTTTTCCTTAATTTGTCTTAAAATACCTAATATTGAAAGACTCAACTTTTCTATGTCCCTTTAATGTTTCTCCAAGTAAGACACCAAAATCTGACAATCCTGAAAAATATTCACAGTTATGTGATTCAAAACCCCGGGGAAGAAAAATTCACCATTTTTCCTCAGGGAATACAATGTTACTGCCCTGCATATCCGTAATCATTGCATTTTGTAAGAGCTTGGCTGTAGTAAGACCAGTGAGATACATTCCTGGTACCAAACAATTTGCATAATGGATAGTTATTACAGCTATCATTCTGTTGTGCTCTTGAAGTGTTCTGTGGCAGGCAAGGGATGAAAACAGCACTCGCTAGCAAAATGGGCGACGATTAAGTGATTCCTTAGTTTCATACTTGTAATTTGTCTTAATGATGTGGATGACAAAACATTACTATGCACCTACAGACTGTCATATAGGTCTGTGAGTTGTGGTGTCTTACGTGTTCTACAAGCAAACTCTAGTAGATTCAATTTGACCTTTTTTTTCTGTATTTGAGATCCCCATTGTAGGTATCAATGTTTATTAAATTATTTAGATTGCAGTAATGCTTACAGTCTAGCTAGGTAGGGTCACTAGTGTGCAAGGCATGATACCAACTCTTAGGGGTTTTCTTTGACCAAAACTAAGTTGAGTATCCTTGCTGTTATAGACATATAATTAGGCAAAAATGTATCTGGAGGGGAGGGTATGTGCCCTTTTCTATACTCAATATACAAAAATCTCCCCTGAAAGAAAAGTTTAAATCAGAACAGAGTAGAGCTTGGTAGCTTTGGGCAGTTCTTAATGTTGCACAGGCCTTGTTGTTGCATGTAGAAAGAAGAATTGCCAACAACTGTAGTTAAAGCCTGAAAGCTTGTTACTAATCTAGAAATCTAAGGTTAGAAACCTTTTGAAAAAATTCTGTGATGGTTACCCTTCTTCTCAAGAATACTCTAAGTGCTCATGATTGATTACTTGTTTATCATGATTGATAACCTGTTTAAACAGGTTAGATAGAAATGTATAAAACAGGGAAGATGTAAATGGTGATTAAATGGTGTAGGGGAGCAGTATTCATATAGAGAATTCCTTGTTGTGGGTTGCATGCTTCTAATGTGGAATATCAATCTGTGAACTCAAAGTATCTGTCTATTAATAATCGTTAACTGATTAGTGTGGAGCTTCTGGAGCTCACTTTTAGTTCTGTGAGGAATGTTGTCCAGCAGCTCAGGCATGTGAGGGTCCAAATGATCATGAAGGTTACTCTGATTCAGTGTTTGCACTTCAGTTAAGGTTAGCTGTCACCTTTGGAGCCCCCAGCCTAGAAACCAGTACTGTGTCAAAACCACTTGACATCAGTGGCAGTACTTCATGAGACATCCTCAGAACCACTGAAATGAAAGTGAACCTTTGTGTTGATTTTTGGTGGGTTTTCAGTCAGGCCTTTAGAATAAGCAGAGGGGCACTGAAATGCAGAAGACCTCACTGTTCTTGTCTGTACTGTATCAGTTCTGAATACAAAGAGGTCCTCTTCTCTAGGGCTATTGATCCATTGCCTTTCATGGCTACCAAGTTCTCCGAGACATATGTTCCTATAAGAATTGTGCACCAGATGCTCTGGAATTCACCATTAGTATTCGTCATCTTATAACCTCAACTTTTCCTTCTGGTTCTGACATCTTTCATTCTCTTCCTCCCTTCCCACTTTTTCCACAGGTACTGTGTTATTCATGGGAAGGGTTATGCACCCTGAAGCAATGAATACAAGTGGCCATGACTTTGAAGAGCTTTAACTGCCACCAGCTACCAAAAAGAGGAGATAAGCACATAAAGTTTGAAGTTAATATATTTAAGGTTTGCTGTGTTTTCCCCCAAGATATTGTTTAAAATGCTTTCAGATCTAACTGTGTGCAAGTCGGTTTCCAGAGGAAAGCTTACAGTATTAAAGTAATGGTTCTGTTTTTGTCATTGTGATTGCTGTGTCCTTAAAATAAAATTGTGTACATGTCAACAACTGTTTCTTGTTCTAGTGAATTGTAAAGCAAAAAACTGCAAATCCATTATTCGTAATCTTTTTTACAGTCCAAAGACTGACTTAATGAGACAGGAGCACAAAGTGTGTAGCTCTGAATACTGCAATGGCAAACCTTGATGATAATTTATAGAGTTGAAGGACTACATCTGGAAAATGTGATCTCTTCCTGTTCCTGTAAAAGTAGTAAACAGACTGCGATATGCTGTCTCATCAAAGTTAATGGAACAAATTAAGCCTAGTGGATTTTATTCTATAAGATAACTGTGGCAGACTTTGTGTGAACTCTCCCACATGTGATTCTAAAATGTTGCTTTTATGAATGCTCCTGCATGTGACTGCAATTCACCTTCCGTAACTGTTGATGCCAATAAAATTTGATCGCATGAGTATTTGAGTTAGTATAGAATAGCTATGTATGTGACTGAAGTAAAATAGTTGAATAGTCATGTCATTTGTGTGGACATATTTTTCTCCCCTAAAGTAGTTGTCCTGCTTTAACCTAGGCTTTGCAGTATCTCACTTCAGGAATCTAGAACGATCTTTCTCAAAGTAAAAAAAAAAAAAAAAACCAACAAACCCTCTTAAGTGTCTAAAAATGTTCTATTCATAAATAAATATCTAAAGGAAGAACATAATCTCTTTATCCCTTTTTATTGAGAGTAAACTGACAGAGAGGAGAATGACGCATACAACAAGTAAATATTAGCAAGGGAATTAGTTGCTGTTTCCATTTGCAAGAGGAGGAGCAGTACCAGTTGTCACCAGAGAGGCATATAATTATTTCCTCCCTCACTGTGCAAAATATAAAAAGAACCGACGTTATTAAAAAGGTAAGAGAGAATAGGAGAAAAGAAGGGAGGAGCTCCTTTGAAACAGATCATAAATACAAACTTCTGGATAATAAGTGGGTTTCATCTCAGTCAATAGGAGTTTTGTCTTTTGAATTCTATGGGAACAAATGTGTATTGGCTGAACTTTAGTTACAGGCTTCTTTGCATTAGTTACTTGCAGCATAGATATTGTTCACAAAGTTATTCGTGCAAGGAGAACTTCCAAACTTTGACACATTGTTCACTTAGTTTTTTATACTGCTGGTGCACATCGTGCAGGTGAAACTGCGAAGTGATGGATGTTCTCCATGGAGGCTGGTTATGCTCCCTGAGAGAAAGGGCATTTGAACACATTTCTAGCCCTGCCTCCTTGAATTGTTTAGTTCTGTTGCACAGAAGAAAAATGGAGCTCCTTAGTCTATTGCTTTTGCTTATTACCCATAGCGTATTATAGTTTGGACTTGGCGAGACATTTTTTATATTTAAATTCAGACAAAAATTGTAATTTTTGGTTCTGTATAGCTAAAAATGTTATGCTTGGGAGAGGGGGAAAAAAGGGGAGTGCTTCTAAGAAGGAGCAGGGGCTAATTTTACCAAGATACAGAACTAGTCTCACTGCAGGTAAAAACCAGCTCCTTTGACATGGGGTTACACAAGACCTGGTTCTTCATGTTTAGATGATTCTATGAACATCACCTAATATCTGTAAAAGTGACCCATATGCTAAGGATCTCTTGTGGTTTTAACATTATGGGACCCTGATTTTTAAGTTATTACATTTTTTTCAGGCTAATTTTTGAGGTGTTCATTCTGATTCAGAAAGACATGAGAAAGCAGATGACAACCTTCAGTCATGTTTATTTTTAGTCCATCAGAGGTTCTTCCTGACCAATTTTGTGTTTTCTTTGCATTGGTTCCTTGCAGCGTAGATGCTTCTTACCAAGGGAAGGACTGAAGATAGATTTGAACTAAAGGTATGGAATTATGGAAGGAGAGCTGTCAGTCAGAAGTATTTATAGAGGATATCAGACTTCCCTCACAGTTAGACTGAGCATAGGTGTAAGTGGAATGATGCAGAATCATGTATTTCAAATCTGATTCTGATAATTGCCTAAATGACCATATAGGAAAACCAGCAGAAACAAATGCAAACACAAGTTATTTCACTTGATACTCTCCTAGTCCTTACAGATGCAAAAATAGCCATTTCATGTTTCTTGAAAATTGAGAATTATCTGGTTTGCAGCAATGTCAGTTGATTTATTACCAAATTATGAAAGATGTTAGTTGTAGACCACAATGAGAACAGCTCTCAAACGACACTGGTTTTCAGTAGTGATAATATCTTAATTATTGTTACTGATTTACTGAGGTATATGAATACAATTCCGTTGTGGTTTTTCATCTAGATTTTGTATAATGTTTCTTTCAAAGATGCTATTGCTTTTTTTGAGACCAAACTAGAAAAATAATTTTGTCTTTTTGTTTGGATTTTTTTTTTTGGTAAGGGGAATTTGTCAGTAGTGGCTCATATGTGAGCTTAGGTGTGTAGTCTTAAAAAAAAAAATTTAAAAATGTATTTTGTGTTGGAAGCTATATCAGAAAATAAATTACTGAAACTTCTGTAACTGTGCTGTGTAAGTGACCCCTGATGTGACACTGTCTATCGAGATCCTTCTGTGATGCAGATGGAGATTTAAGCATGAGATGCAGCTGCCTAATGCTATCATCTTTTCTCTTTCTTGCATACATGTACTGGAGCCCAGATGGAAATGCTTTTTGGAGCTGCAGTTGGAAAGAGTACTTTCCCTACGAATCCTTTCAGTAGTAGTGCTACCACTGAAAACCGACTTATTTAACTAATAGGATCCCCCTTGTATGTGATCTTGAGCACCAAACAGTTTTTCTAGATTAGCGCTACTTTAAAACAAAAATTTGTCATGTAGGAATGAGAAAGTTTTTGTTGCTGTTCCAAGCACTAATTTTCACTGTCCTTCCACAAGCCTTGATGGCGGCAAAGTAAACTGTTGTCTCAGTTTCTGTGATTCAAGTACATGATATTCCTCAAACAACTAAGATCTTAGTGTTATACCAGAAACAAAAAAAATTCAGTCAAAGCTTTTGTGGCTAATTTTTTTTTTTTTTTTCAATGATGGACAAAAGAAGAAACCACAAGATGTCACTCTATCCTAAGAAGCTGAGAAGTACTTTCCCCTTGACAGTAATCCTGTGGGAGTGTTAGAAAGCTGAGTATCCTGAATGGGACTCAAGCATATGTAGGTCTTGGTAAAATCAATGAAAGTTTCTTGAGTTTGAGAGCATAATTAGACACAGGTGCCTGAGATTAATAATCGGGGGTGGGGGGGAACAAGCCCAAAAAAACCCTGCTTTGTGTTGCAAACTTTTCTCTGATTCTTGATAAGAGATTGCTGGATTAAGTTCATTGCTCATAGGAGAATTTTCATCCAGTTCATAGCCTGCATGATTGCATTGTATAATTGGTGTGGGATGAAATAAAAGAAAAAGTTTTTTCTTTCAACCCATCTCCATGAACAGCAGTAGAGCTGTACTGTGGTTAATTCAGAGTGTCAGGGCTGCAATAGGAGATGTATTTTCTTGACTACAAGAGAGAAATAACTACGGTTGAAGTCATTGATATGCTGGTCTTATTCTGTTGTTATTCTCTTTTGCTTACCTCTTTTATTTCCCCCCTCCCTTGCTGCCTTACATACAGTCACTAGAATTTCTATGTGAGCAGATTCCCAGTGTGTTCTCCCCTTATACAGTGAGGTCACACCACTGTCAGGTGTTCTACTCTCTTTTTGGGGAGGAGGTGATACTATTCCTATGAGGATTTTCTAAAAAAACACAAGGCATACTCCAAAAGTGGTGTTTACAAGCTAATTCTTGATTTGTTTCTGTCCCTTTTAATGGGCGATCTTTGCTTTTGTCCCTATAGTGGAAAATGGAAATACATGGATTAAAGAGAGATGAATGATTTACCCCCAAAACCCAGTGCCAGGGAGGAGGAAAACAGTACCTTAGTAACTCAGATAATACCAGCAAGAAGCGAGTTGACTTCCCTTGTGAGCTACTCTGCATATACTGACACAGTTGATGAGAAATCTTAGATTAATTTAGCTTGTAAAACTGTCTGCGGTCCCTAAGGATTTTGGATCAAGCTGCAGTAGTCACAGGGGTCCAGACAGAATGAAGACTCTGCCTGCCTACTGGGGACCTTTGTTAATTGGTTCAGTAGCTTGTCTTTGGCTTCCAGCTGGCTTTGGTTAAGGGCTGTAAAACAAAGTTACACATGAGAAACCATTTGCAATAGACAAATATACTTGGTACTGTAAAACTCATGAACAACACTACATATCTGTTACCCTCATCTACCAGGGCTTCTCAAATGACGTTCTCTTTATATAGTACTGCTATTACAACAACATCCACATGAATGTTTTTCATTTCACAGCACTAATTAGAAGCCTGAGTCATGGACCAGTTGCTCTAGGCATTGGGCAAACTGAATAAGAAAATAGACAAAAGTCATGTAATAAAATGCAGTTTAAATTGCAGTTTATAGATGATAGCACGGTGCAGTTAGTCAAGGCTGTAAGGCTAATGAAGGACATCTGACTTATTCACAGTCACTTTGGCAGGCAGGTAAATGGAGAAAGGTGGTGAAGATAAATGTATTATCTGAACAATAGGTGAGTCTCAGCTCCGCCCACTATTTTAGGAATTGTTCAGACTTTTTCAAAACACCTTACAAATACAGCCTTCAAACTCTGTTAATGGCTGTGCCTGGAAGTCAGGCAGCTGATCATTCTCGGGTGCAACTCCAAAGCAAGAACAGTAAAGCTGAAAATGTTGGCAGCTGTTCCTAAAAAGCACGGTATGCAAATGTCTTCATGGCACTCTCCACTTTCAACTGTGATCAAATAGTCTGAGAGGTTTCTTTCTTAATGATATGTTTGTGACGCTGTGTTCTGGAAAATAATCTGGCAGATAGCGGTAGTAAAATTTGAGGTCTACTATGACCCAGCTGTGGAAAAAGATTGAAGTTGTTCCTGCAGCTAGGGAATTTAGCCCATTGCTTGACTTTTTATCTTTTCAGCCATGCTGAATCACAATATGAATGATGTTTCAGATATGACCCATGCTTTACTGATAACAAGTTGTTTTACTATCTATCTCTCATAAACACACATCTTCTCTTCCCTGTGGAAGAGTCATCTTTTGGACAAACTGAGGGAAGAATTCCTACAGAAAAATTATTCTGTCTTTATGTAGAAGTGCTTTTAAGTAAGGAAGAAAAAAACATAGATGAAATCTGGGTTGTGTCTAAATTGTGTCTTTTGTGCTCTCATTAAGGGATTGGGATTGGCCATGGAAAAATCCTGGTTTTTCTTTAATAACAATTTGTTTGGGTGAGCTTCAACCATTCCTTCAGGTATTCTGATGCTACCAAAAGAGTTTAGACCAAATCAGAGTTTAATATTTTTACTCTATTTACATATATTTGTTAAGAGTCATGTTTCAAAACCAAGCAATTTGCAATGCTGGAATGTTTGCGTGCGGTAAGTGTGTGATAGCGTTGCCTGAACAGAATGAAAGAAACATGTCAAAACATACTAAGAAATAAAAGACATCAAGAAGTCCAGTCTTGCCCTGAGACCTGTAAAGATCATGGTCTGGACAATGTCAAATCTCACCAGTCATCAGCAGTCTGATACAAAAAGTCTATTTATTTGAGGGTTTTGTCATTGTCAATATACTTTGTAAATGGCATATTTCTAAAGGTAACAGCCAGAAAGCTGGCATAGTTTGACCCAGGAACTAATAAAATTTTTCAAGTTTATTACAAGAGAAATACTGATCTTAAAATCCATTGTCTCTTCCGGGAAATGTTCTCTTTGGGTCAGGCTGCAGCTTGGGCTTACCAGCGTGTAGTGACCAGTCTGTCATTTTGTAGAAGCAAGACCATATAAAACTCCCACTTCTATTAAAGCCCTTGGTGAAATCCACCAAGAGGTAAAAGAGGCCAATTCTAATGTTGCTACTGCCTGTTTTACATATGTGTCTCCATTGCTTTTTCCCCTACAGAATTTTCTCCTTGGTCTAAACAAAAAGAGAATCGGGGACAGTGTGCTGCAGTTTATAAGTTCACTTCAGAGTTTTTGAACGGAAGTTATTTGCATATTGTCCCAATGTATCAGAGCTAGTCTTACTGCTACAGTTTCATAGAGTTCAAGTTGAACAGGCTAACCTTGAATACTTTTAATTCATTTGTTTTCCAGTGTCATTCCAAGTTTAATGTGTATACATCTATGGAACGAGCTGTTCTGAGGAGGTGATCTCTTGCTTACTGACCTTTTGAATCGTAACACATGTGGGACTGAGAGCTTGGAACCATGAGTAAAATAGCTTGCCTTGTATCGAGCACTTATAAAAGCTGAGGACATTACCAGTTCTTCCTCTTCACTATGACGATTACAGCAAGGTAGGCATAAGCCATCCTAAAGTGCAGTTATCTCTGAGCAGAAATTAGGGAATGTCTAGTTCCATAACCTTAAATGTTTAAATCAAGCAAACAATCGTATAGTGTCCAAAACACCCATAGCAAAGAGCATCATCAGAAAAAACTAAATTTAATCAGAGTCAGCTGGAGCCTGTTCAAAATCCCTTTGTAGTCCATAAAAAAAAAAAAAAAAAAAAAAGGTTGCCATTAGTTTCAGTCAGTTTTGGACCACATGCAGGTTTCTCTCAGGCTATGCCCTGAAGAATGAGTGCAAAGAACCGGGTGGAAACTGACACACCTGTGATTTTGTGTGATTAGTAAGACCTCGATTTTTGCCCAATTTGCAAAAATGACTTTGGGCCACTTACCTGAAAATATGAAATTGACTTCTAATCACAATGTTTCTACAACAAAAAAAGTCAAGACTATAAGCATTCAAGATGTAGAATTTATAAAGTTGTGTTTTGTGTGTGTACACATGTGCAGACACTCCATTAAATGTGGACATACTATGAGAATCACAAACACTGTTACTATTTTACTATTATGTTATAATAAGTAAGCAAAACCTAACCTAAGTATCTTTGCATGAAACCATAAGATAATGCAGTACAAAATAATGAAGCCGCTCTTTGTTTAGAGGCTGGAGGACTTTTCCTTGGTGTAAGATGCCTATAATGGAATAAAAAGATTGTTTGCCCCTTTTCCTTTCTCAGTAACTGTTTAAAGGAGCCTAGCTTGGCTTAGTCCTTCTCTTTAGGTCCCTGGAGTTAAATGAGATTAATTCAGGTCTCTTGAAACTGTTGGCAGCAGATTCCTCTGCCTACAACCATTGCACAGACAATTCACAAGGTAAATATAAATAGACAGATGAAGGCAGAGAATCCTGGGGAAATAAAGGGATATTGGTGTTTAATATGATGGGCAGTGGCAAAGCTCACCAGCCACCCAGCCACTGTCAACACAGAGGGCCCTGAAGAGGAGCCATGACCCACATATGAGGAGCTGGCAGAACTCATTCCCTTATATGCTGCCTCTGTATTACTTTGCATGTATTTTCTCAATACAGCAACTTGTTAGTAGATTTATTGGCAGTGCACTAAGAAGTATCTTTAAGACAAGTTAATTCAGGCTCTCTTAGCCTTGATAACGCCTGCTTAAAATATGCTTCCATGAATGACAAGAGTACAGAGATTATGTTATGATAGTTCCATGACAAGAGACTTCCAAAAAGCAACATAGAAGGCTATTTTTTGGAAGGCCCATTAACCCTCTGGCAGCCCATTTTCCACCCTTCATTGTAAGCATGATTATCTGAACAGCATTCAAGAAAAAGGCAGGTCCAAGTCTTTGCTGTTTCCCCAGGAAATACATCCTGACAATTCCATAGACAAAGGTTTTCAAGTGGAAAACATGTTTTACATTTGTATCTCCTTCAGTGCTTTAAAGCCTTGCTTATTTTTTAGAGTTTCTGTACAAAGCCTGATTTTTTTAAACAGAACTTGGAGATTCTTAATTTTGCAGGTGTGTTCACATTCAGCACAGACATATGGAAGACACAATCTTCTAATAAACTAAGGGGTATCTATGAGAGTGTTGTGCTTTTCTGTGTCATGCCATTGTAAGTAAGTATGGCAATAATGCTGCTGGTGACTTAAGCTGCTGGAACACTATCTAAACCTGCACAGACACAGCAGTTAGGACTCATTTTTCCCCAACACAGTTGGTCAAGCAGTATACTTATTCCTGTCCTCAATCTCAGAACTTACCTAGAACCTTGCAGGTTAAAATTCTGCTTCACATGGGGCAAGGCTATTGTGCAGGAAAACGCTTTTTTACCGGCTTGTCAGCTAAGATCCGAAGAGAGAAGGTGGCTCTGCCTCTGCTGTGAGGCTGGTACTCTTTTTGGCTTCCCCTTGGCTCCTGTGCCTGTAATCACTGACTAGCATATGATACAGTCGAGTGGTTTGCATGCCTACGTTTCCTTCCCATGGAGGGGAAGATGCAGAGGGACGGTCGTTTGACTCATACGGTTTTGCTCCAGTGCGCAGCTGGAGCACTGCCAGGGCACACACAGGACTCGGAACTGGTCTCTGGTCCACCTATTTCACTGTAGCTCAAGTGACTCATTCCACAGAAGACAACATTGCTGGAAGAGAGAAAGTAACCCTCATGCTGAGTGACCAGCAAGTACAGTTGGTCTAATGCCCTTGTGGCAGGGAAGGAAGAATCCTGCTAGTTTGGCACTGGGTTAAGGTCCCTGCCCTTTTAAACTCTCTTTCTAAGGCTGAAAATTGGAACAATATGATGCTGTAAATTGCTGATCGTAAAACAAGATGGAGACTGATGTGCAGCTACCCACTGTGTCCCAAGCTACTGTCCAAATCACTGACTCGCCTTGTTGGGCCAAAGTGTCAATGGATTTATGTGGTAGGAAAATCCAGTGAACAATCAAAGCATTTAAAAACAAGCCAACAAAGATGAAGCATTTGTGAGCAGCAGCTGACATTCCCTCAGAGATGTAACACATGATTTCTATAATCATAAAAATATATTTAATTTTGTTTATTTAAACCAGACTGTGCTTTGCTGTGAGCATTAATCATCTGGTGTCACACAACAGCACACTAAATGTCACACATTGAATCACATCTCCTCCGACACTGTTAGAATATTCTGGATGTACTCCACAGCTGTAGAAAGAAGTACTTCATGCCTTGCTAGCTGTAGAGCAAACACACTCTTGCAGGTTCATTTTGTATTCAATAGCTCTACAAAACAGCAAAGGCAGCATGCAAAATGAGGAGGAATACTACTGAAGCTCAGCTGCCAATCTTTCACAATTCAACTGCAAAAACTATGAGGTCTGAAAGAAGACATTAAAGTACAAGTATCAGCAGAAATATTAAACTACCTTAATCAAGAGAATTATACCTGGTCACTTACTTTTTTAATAAGTTTTGTTTGCCTGAAGAAGCAACAACAGCATATAATGTTTCCTGCTGAAGACAGGGCCCTCCTCTTCCCCCAGTATCAGTCAAGGAGAAAAGAAATTTGTATTTCCCATCTGCTGGAATGCAGCATGGAGCTGGCAGAGCAAGACAAAGTGGAGCAGCTGAAAGATGGGTATAGTTTATGTCTGAGATTAGTTCAGTGGCAGGTCTGTAACTAGAGAATATAGTAACATATAGTAGTTTAACGGCACCTTTATAACCCCCCTTTAGGCCAGCAGTGGACTTAGCCTCTTTGAAGTCCAAAGATCAGGATGGACCTGAATAGTATGTTTTTTTAATCTTTTTTTTTTTTTTTCCTTAAAGAAAACCTGCTGCTTCCATCACCTCATCTCTGTCAAAGCAAAAATGTAAGGGGGTGATGAAATGAACCTAAGAAATAATAAAGATTTGTTTTCAGAGGGGATTTTGGATGAAGAGGGCTAAAGCAGAGAGAGGCACTGGATGAAGTCATTCTGTTTCAAGCCAGTGGATTGCCTTTACTGGACCCTGATTGAAACTGATCAGTTGGCAGGGAAGACTAATGCATATTGATGGTGCACTCCCTTAGCAGTGATTACAAACACATGCTCTGGGAAGTCCCGCCAACAGATTTGGTGTCCTACAGTACCAGAACTTGGGTGGAAAGACAGTGTTGTGCAGAGTAAGGGGAAGGTACATTATCCATCTGGAGATACTTTAAGGTCATCTTGTCTTTTGAATGTATATGAGTCAAGAATTCCTTCTCTACTGAAATCAGTAGACCTGATTTAAAATAGATATATATAGCTGTACCTTGTGAATGCAAAATGCTTGTTACTCCAAACTCCCCATTTGGTGAGGCTAGCACTCACACCTGCTTAGCAGCAGGTACAAATACTTAGCTGAGGGACAAAGCAATGGAAAATCAGTCCCAATAATGTTTAAATACCTGCAGTACTGCTGAAAGGAGAATGTCGTGTAGCCCTCAGGACACATATACTGTGATACAGCAAATGCAGTCTCTGACTTTGACCAGAAACACATTTTCATTACATTTAATTTCTTTTGGCACGACATGCCAGTTTCTAACTTTAAATGCAGGAATTATGGACAGCTACAGTGCGTCTGTCTCCTTCCTATAAAAGAAGAACTGGAGAGAAACAAGGCTGTTTCTCCTTTCTTGTAACACAAGGCTGCCATTTTTTCAAACTGAAAGCAAGTGGGAGCAAATTACTTGGATTTCCTGACAAAAGCTGCATGAACACAATGCCTTTAATAAAAATAGATGTTTCTCCTCATAGTGTTTCTCTCTTGTCTTCCCCATGGTTATAGGAGGCCCTGCTTTCTGTTTTCAGCTAGAGAACATCTTTACTATCCTTGCAGGCAGTGAATAACAAGACATTTGTTTGAACTACTTTTTTTTTTTGGCAATAAGACTCGAGGAAAGAATAAGGTGAAAAAAAATCAGAGATGTCAGGAGCAACTTCTGCCTGTAAATCCATGTTCATAGTTCTCAGTTCCTTCTTTGGTTGCAATGGGGGCAGGTGTCTCTGAATTTTAAACAACTGAATTATGTTTATCATTCAACTGTATTGCATTTGCATGCTTTCCTATTCTTTCACTCCTTTCTTAGCGTATATAGAGCTGGGTAGTTTTTACCATCTTAGCCCAGCAATGGAGTAACATTGTAGATGAAATGTAGTTTAGTAAAACATACTGTATCATTGAAACAAAAGTAAGAATGGATAGATCTTTGAAAGAGAGTAGATATGTTTTAAAGCACATTTGTACTGAAATGCAATGCTTTTCCATGAAATTTTCATCTGTATAAGAATATTTACACTCTGTTCCCCTCCCTGTCTTTGCACATTAGTTACATATGTGTATGCATGTAAACATGCACACACGCGTAGACACACACATACACACACAAATACATATACATGTACAAATACATATATCTGTAAATATGCATGTAAAACTGGGTTGCTGTGCGGGTGGAGATTGGTGTATTGAGTGTGCAGGTATTTCAGTATACGAATGAAACAGATGTACATGTGAGACAGGACGGTACTGGGGAGAAAAGGAGGGAAAGGTGCAAAGTATTTCAGACAAAAGGCTGCCCAGTGTAAAAATATTTGAGAACTGCTGGTATTGATAATGGCAGACTGAATGAGTCAAATGTATTATGAGTAGTTTTCCCGTTTCATACTTAAAGAGATTATGCCTATTTATCTTAAATATCTAACATATGACAACTTCGTAAAGCCAGTTTAATAAAGGAGTGCTCTAGTGACTCCTAAGTATTCCCATATTTGCGAGAGCTGCGTTTCAGGAAGGCAAGGGTTTGATGGATGAAGTGAAACAATTTTTTCAATATAATTCACATAATCAATTCTCTACAAAAAAGGAAACATAACTCTTTAGCAGTTGGCAGCAGTTACATAAATAAATACAGCAATTTATGAAATATGGTAGCATCTGCAATGACAAAAGTTAGACAGGAGAATAACCAGAGATACTGCTTCAAATGACACGGTGTAAAAGGAAGCTTACAAGACTGCAACAGGAAATTGTTTATCAAAATTAATTTAGAATGATTTTCATATGATTAAAATTACCTGATGCAACTTATGTTCAATAAATTAGGAAGTACTTAATGAATGTTTTATTCTTTCCGGAATTATTAACAATTAACATATGAAAAGATGAAACATGAGATTCATAATAAAGATGCAGATGGAGGCAAATGAGACTGCCCTGAAGTCAGAGTTTTCATCTCTGGGTGGCTTCATCAGATGTCTGATCTTGTTTGTTTTGGCAGCTTTGGATAAGATGTTTCAAATTTTGAGAATTAGACAGAAATGGCGTTTGGACAAGTGAAGACTGACAGAAAGCTCATTAAAATGGATGGCAGTTTGCCTATCAATTTCAATGAGCTCTAAACCATGACCTCTGTAAAAGAATGCTTGGTTCAATCTCTTGTGAAGAATCGGGCAGATATCTGGCAGATATCTTTTGGGTTTTTTCTATATGCACATACAAGTTTGATTCTGCTCCAGTTGAATTCAATGGCATTACTCTTAAGGGCTAAAAGGTTAAGCATAAGCTTATGTGCATCTGTGGATTAGGGATGCAATAATTTCATTCAATATAAAAAGCCATGTTTTAAGGTGAAAGGGGAAATATATCTCATCTCAGTGAGACATATAATGGGAGAAATCGTTATTGTACATCAATCAACAGGAGTGCTGTATGCCACTGACTTCACTGGGGATACGAATTTGTTTTCTCTTTCATACATGCACAGATAGGTTGCCAAATGCAAGAGAAGGCAAGTTATAGCCATTATTTTTTTTTAAAAGAAACTTTTGAGAAAAAAAACTGAAAACATTACTTAATACGTGATCTTTCTTTAGTGTCAGAAAAAGTCTACTTCATCCAGAAATTGTTGACCTACATTTTATGAGAAAAGTAAGATTTGATACTGAAATAAGTCTCTCCTAAACCAAATAAAAATGCCATTCTTCATCCCATAAACATATCTTTTTATGGCTTGATCCAAAGACCATAAAATCAATGGAAAGACTCAATCTTCAGTGCCAGATATTGTCATTATGACTTGCAAGCCCATTGTTTTTCCAGAAGAGAGAACCAAGTTTCAGTACTTGTTGCTTGGTTACAGCCCCTCTAAACCTCTTGGAATTCATGGGTTTATAACACCTTAGAAAACCAGACATATGTAGTTTTCACTTCAATTATTTATGCAGCTAGTTGTTGATTCCTTTTTGTCTGGTAACCCTGATGAAATGATTCACTAACTCTGCTCCTCTTCTATCCAAGGCTTTATTCTGCAGTACTTGGCTTTTCCTTGTGAATGCTCTCCAAGTCCTACCAGTGGGAGTCACATAGTTTACTGGAATCCTGAATGGGCAGGACAAAAAGAAATTTGTTGCCTAGGTAACTCAGCAAAATAACCAGTTAGTTTATGCAAGTGTGCCTGCTTATCTGCTGAAGCATAGATGAGCATATATAAGCTTAATATTGTGTTCCTTTTCTAGTGCTTCCTATGAGTATCCATGCAGATTATACTAATGAAATATTCAAAGAAATTCTCTCTCTCTAACTGATTCATCCAACACGAATGCCATGGATTCCTGGATATAGTCAAACCAGGTAAGATCAATATAGAAATTAACTTTCTGCTGTCACTGTAGTGTCGTTAAGTTTTTAGATCTGGTTTTAGTGGTAGCATCAACCTAATGGTTTGATATCACCAATAAGTATCCAGCTAACACTCAGTAAAGTAAGAATTTTACATAAAGAACATGAAATTACATCAACAAACTGATTTTTACAAGCTTCTGTATCCCTGAATCAGAAAAATGTTATAATAGAGGTATCATTTAAATATTCTTTAATGATGATTAACATAATGTCAGATCAGAAAAACTCAGCCGTTTAAATGCATAGACTTTAAAGCCAGATCGTTCATCTAGTCTGATCTCAGTGAAGTCAGTCTCTGTGAATCCTGTATGAATGCTGACCCTATTCACATTAACAGAATTTTTGCTGTTGACTACTACAGTGCCAGCATTTCATGGTCTGAGCATTTCAGTTATTTCTGTATAAAAGGGGGAGGGATAATATTATTTCTTTTCTCCTACTCTTTGTCTGTCTGCTCTTTTCAACTAGACTACAAACTCTCTGGAGCAAACTCTATTTTACTGGCTTTCTGTGGTGCCCAGAACAATAGGGCCTCTTGTGGCCTACAGCAGTCATAATAATTTGAATTGTTTCCATCATTAATCAGATCTCAGGATGAGACGTATTCTGCCCAGTTCATATATATTTCATGTACCTGTAGGACATGCAGGGAAGCACCCAATCGGTCGAATGTAGATGGGAGAGACACGTGGTTGAGACTGATGCCCACCCTGTTATTTGCCCTGCTCAGCCATTTCAAAGACAAAATTATTGGTCAAAATTGGATGAAGTGGGAAAAACTATTTCTTTCTTGCAGGGGTGGGACATGCTGCTGAATGTCTTGGCAGAAACACATTTTTACAGGGCAGGTTGTAAAGATATGAAAAATAGTGTTTATAATGGAAAGGCCGACACCATCTTAAATATGTCATTTCACTGAAATAGCAC